CTCTTCTCTTTTATAAAAAAATTTCTAACCATTTTAATAGTTTAGATTTATTTTTTAACACTAATAAACCAGACCTCATTAAGTTTCAGTGATGCGTTAAAAGTTAAAAGCTCTTCTCTTTTATAAAAAAATTTCTAACCATTTTAATAGTTTAGATTTATTTTTTAACACTAATAAACCAGACCTCATTAAGTTTCATAACAGGCAGAATATTCTAGATAATTTTAGCGTGTATATGGGTAATTCCAGTATTGATAGTACACGCGAAAGCGTTCGTTTTCTTGGGATTCATATTGATGAATTTCTTAATTGGAAGTATCACTGCAGTAAACTTGTAGAAAAATGAATTCGCTAAAATATCTTTTTATTAATTTACGAGAGGTGCTGCAATCTCATCAACTTGTTAGTGTTTACTTTGCTCAAGTCGACTCTCGACTTAGATATGGAGTATGTCTCTGGGTTAATTCTACAGATGCTTCTAATGTTTTCATTGCACAAAAGCGAGTAATACAATGTATAGCAAACATTTCACAAATCATGTCCTGTAAACCATATTTTAAAAACTATGGAATATTCCCACTTCCATCTTTGTACATTTTTGAAATTTGCGTGTACATCTTTAAAAACAAAAGTTGTTTTATGACTAACAGAGATGTTCATAGTTATCAAACAAGACAAGCTGATAAAGTGCACGTGCCTTATGCAAGGTTGCACATTAGTTCCAACGCACCAAATTTTCTGGGTCCAAAATTGTTCAATAAATTTCCAATTGAAATAAAAAAATGTGCAAATATTAATATTTTTAAAAATAATTTGAAAATGTATCTCCTGGAAAAATATTTTTATTCCTTAGCTGATTTTTTATATTTTTAGTATTCTAATCTGTTTAGACCCCAATTTTAAATGTAGACACAACCTGGGCAAGTAATATCTTCGAAATGAAGAACATCGCGACTGGATTAAATTAATTACAGAAAATATTATTAGACCTACTTTTCCAACATTAACGTTCACTGCACTATCTCAAATGGTCTTCTTCCTTTTGAGTCTTCTGTTGAGTGTAGAGTTGTCCAGAAATTGCAGTGCTTCTTCGTTGATGAGGGAGTGAAGACGACACTCATGTTTCGCAGCAAACATCTTTATTTCTTTTATGAATGTTGGCATCTTCAGGCCGCTGTGAAGATAATCGTTTCGATAGAACCAAGGTGCATCAACAATACATCTTAGGACTTTATTTTGTAAAACTTGTATCATGTTGATATTATTCTTGCTTGCACATCCCCATAGATGTATACCATAAATCCAGATTGATTTTAGGATTTGTTTGTAAATCAGTAGTTTGTTGTACACTGATACCTTGGATTTTCTTCCTAGGAGGTATTTGGCCGAATCGTGATGCGGACTTAATTTGATTTATTTTCCACCTTTTTGTGCATCGATTGATTGATTGTATTGCAGGTTCCCTGGAGTTTTTCTAAGTTTCTGTATTAGTTCTGCCGACTACCAATATTGCAGTGTCATCAGCAAATGTTGCTATTTTAACACATTGTTGATGAGAGATATTGCTGGTGTATAATAAGTAAAGAACCGGTCCTAGTACACTACCTTGTGGGACATCTGCTTTAATTTATTTTACTCTAAACATAAACATTCTTCCCATTAGAAATGATTGAAGAATATCAACAAATTGTCTAGGGAACGTTTTTTCAAGTTTTTATGTCAGACCAGCGGTCCAAGCCTTGTCAAATGCTTGGGCTATGTCTAGAAATATAGCTGAGCATATACATTTTTTTCGTATGCTTTTTCGATGATATCGGCTATCATCCTGTGTACTTGATCTATTGTCCAGTGTTTGTTTCTAAAACCAAATTGATGCGAGGGGATCAGGTTTTTTATTTTAAATTATTGGTTTTAGTCGATTTGGTGGTAGCTTTTTAAATTACTTAGATATTATTGGTAAAAATAATGTAGGTCTATATGATAACACTCCATTCGAAAGCTTCTCTGGCTAGAAATTAGGATAACTTAAGCCATTTTCCAAGCATTTGTTATATATTTAAGGCGAAATGCTGCATTTATGAGGTAGGCTATCGTTAATGGCAGTTTCTTTAATATTTCTCCAGTAATAAGGTCATATCCTGAGGCTTTCTGTAGTTTCATATTTGTCTGAATTTCTTTCACTTCATTGGAAGTAACTAGCCTAATTTCAAATAGTTCCATATTATGGATCTTCTCGTTAGGAGTGTCTTGATTTTCATCAAATTAAAACGTCTTCTGTTGGTGGTCAGCGAAAATATCAGCTATCTGTTGATTGTCTCTAGTCCATTTGTTATCTGCTATTCTGATAGGATCACAGTGTTTACACGAATTTTTTACCTTTTTAGTTGCCTTCCAGAAGAAATAATAAGATTCTTTATCATCTGTTAGCCCTACTAGGTATCTGTTAAAGGATTCTTCTTTGTGATTTTGGATTTCTTTCCTTTTCTTTCTTAGTTTTCTTTTTTCTGTTAGGTACCAGTCCTCTTATCTCGACCGGATAGTTTTTTCCAGTTGCTAGTCTTCTTACTTTTGGTGTAGCTTGCTGGATTTCTACTATAAACTGCCTAGTTCTTTATCCAGCTGATTTTTCGTTTTTAGTGTTATGGCCAGTAAAATAGTATTTGTTAAGTCCTCTTGAAAACCTTCCTAATTAGTTTTACGATATGCTAGGGTCGGTTTTGCTTTTTTTGAATAACATTATCACTTAGAGTAAGGATTACTGCAGAATGGTTTGAATCCATATTAAAGTTTTCTTCTACTTGTGTATAGTTTGATGAAATTTGTCTCAGAATAAAGAAATCCAAAAAGTCTGTTATCTTATTTCAGTCGGTGGGCCAATAGGTTAGTTTTTTAAAACATTTGTATGTACAACCAAGTTCTGATGCAGCTCTTTTCCTTTGACTGTGGTTAATCTTGAACCATATATGGTATTTTCGGGGTTGTAATCTCAACCAATTCTAAATTTGTTACCTAGTTTTTTTTTAAATAATAAATGGGGATAATTCTTTTTTTCTGGTTGTGTCTTGGTGGGCAATAGATTGCAGCTATTGTAGTTTTGTACCTCTTAGTGTTAATGTTCCTAATGGTTACTTCATTTTCTAGTTCTTGGATGCCTGGTTCCTTTTACTGGGAAATGTTATTATTTTTAATATGATGAATTAAAAAAACATTTATCGAAGACATAAGTGGATAAAGGTACCATGTCATATTTTCAAAAAATTATTTTTTAAAAAGCTGATATTTTTAAGATATGAAAGCATCATAAGCCATATATGATAATGCAATTAATTGTAAAAGCTTTAAACTCGGTTTTTTCGATAGAATTATTTTGTAACATGACACTTTATCCACTCATGTCTTCTATCCTAAAAATACTCCAGGCTTTGACTTAATAACATGAAATTTTGAAACAACCTTCTAAAAAAACAATTGCAAAAATAACTCATCTAATCATACCGAAGTTTTTTCACACAGAAAACTTTCTTTATTGCCTATTATATTGAAACTATATGAAAAAATACTGCTTAAAAGACTGAAAATAGTAATGGAAGAGAAAAGCCTAATGCCTTCTTATCAATATAGCTTCAGAGAAAGCTATACCTAATCTCGAACAAAAGTTTTAGTGCAACGTTTATTAATATTTAACAGTTTAGTGTTCTAATTTATTTAAACATAATACACAAATTAATTTATACTATACTGACTATACTGAACTGACTAATTGCAACAGTAAAACATCATATTTATATAAACATTTAGATCTTAATAAACTCTGTTAAGTAAGACATTAGTTTTAAAACTATAGAAATCTTAGTCAAACTTGTAGTTAAAATCGTAATCAAAATCGTAGTTAAAACAGTAGTCAAAATCGTAGTCAAAATCGTAGTTAAAATCGTAGTCAAAATTTGAGTTACAGCTGAGGTAAACTCAAAGAACCTCTATACACTAAAACTCACTGAGATTGAAATATGGATGTCGTATTAATAGAGACTAATTTTTAAAGGTAATAAGTCGTTTTAAAAATATAGAATTATAAGAAACTATATTAGCGAAAATACAAAAAAAAAACAAATCGTTGCCTTCTAACTCCAAATACGTAAGCTCTCAAAATTACAAACCTCTATTTCGTTGGCATGTCTGTTAAATTTTATGTTATGTAAAACTTGTAACTCCACAGAGGTCCCAAACTCACATAAAAACGTGTATCTCTACAATCAGTTTTCTCAAAAAAAGAATTTCTTTTACAGTAAATTACCTGATACAAAAAATATAAATAGACAGAGACAAAATAGTTCCGTATCATTTTCTCTTGTGTTTGTAAACCGATTTTCAAACATATAGAACTCCTAGACTTAGGAAAATGAACTTTGGGTAAGATAGATTGGATTTTTAGATGAAAATTTTCATCTCCAGCAAAGGACAATTCACTTCACCCTCCACCCTAAATATAAGCGGGTCGTAAAATAAAATAAAAAAATGTCGATATACAAAAATTAAAAAATGTAATTCCAGCTAATTACTATGAATGTTATGATAATATCCCGTTATATTAAAGGACTTCTTAAACAAATATGTATGTTACACCTAATTTTACCTGTCAAAACCTAGCACTTAAATTGAAAAATTACATTACATACTTTACATTGCTAACATTACATAACTTGTATCTCTACAAAAGTTAAGCCTGTATAACATGTAACTCCAAAATGTAAACAAAAATCTTTATAATTGAATGTTTTTCAAAATGCATTACTGATAATTAAGAGTTTCCAATAAATAAAGACCTATTGATCTAATTTAATTTTATATCTACATGAAACGGTTTTTTGCTTCTCCTGTGAAATTATTACGTATTGAGTTAAAAGGTTTACATGTTAGCCTTATCGTTAAAGAATACTTGAAATTGTAAAAGTAAACATCTTCTTTACATGAATTATCGTTTTTATATGACTTTAACTTACCCTGAATTCGTCCCGTATCCTCTTGTCTTCCTCTTCTCGTTGTCTTTGGAATTTTCTAAATAAGTCATCCTCTTCTTTCCGATGTCTCATTTCTAACTTTTTCTGTTCATCTCTATCCTGCAAAGAAAAATTTAAAGTTAGCAGAGAAAATTAAACTTATTCCAATAAAGATATAATAGAAATATTTTCATAAGAAATACCATTGACATTTAGACTTCAGTCCGATTCCAGTATCTTTGATCGGATTGAAGACTCAACAGTTTAATATTCTTAATTTTAGTACGGGTGTTTTTTAAACATACGGCAAATATTCAAGGGGTTGTTCCTTGGACTATTCTAAGAATATTTGGTTCTTTTATGATTTTTAAAATTCCGTTTCGTTTAGGAGCGTACAACATTTTTGAGAAAACTATTTTTATTATTTTTAAAATTATTAATAGTCTAAATAAAAATAGGTACTACACTGTGTTAAACAAGAACATACAACTTTTTTTTAAAAATTAGTTATTTTTATTATTTTTTAACAACATTTCAATTACTAAAATTGGTTATTTTTCCACTTAACAAAACGGATTTTCAAAAATCATCAAAGGACAAAATATTCTTAGAATAGTCCAAGGAACAACCCCTTGAATTTTTGCCGCATGTTGTACGCACCCTGAATAGTGTGATCCTGTAATATTTGTGGCTATAGAAGAATATTTTAAAATAATTTTAGATATATTGTCTATAAGTTCTTCTTCAATAATATGTGTAGGATTTATGTACGGATAATATTTAAAATTCTTAAAATACCGAAAACATTTTGATTTATAATTTCCTTAAAAATTCAAGACCACTTAAGTAGGACGATGGTTAATGTTAAACAATATCCTTCAAATACGCCAACTTTATTTCTAAATTATAACAGAACACCCATCTACTTTTGATATTACATTGATAATTAAATAAACATAAACAATAAAAGCGTTACCACATATTCTTTAACATGTAGATACCTTTCATTATTAATTTATCTGATTTTTAAATAAACCTCATAATCAATTAGATGAGATCGAAAGATTATGAAGAATTTTAATCATGAAATTACAATAAAATTATTACACAGCATAATGTTGCCAAACGCAAAGCTTAGCTAAGAACAAGTCAAGAACGATCGGAAATATTTTAGACTATTTCAGGTGTTATGCAAGTTTATATTTTGAGTCCGGTTTTGAGGTAGTTTGTTTTGAAATTGGCTACAATGAAATCGAAAAAGAGGTAGGGTGCTTAAAAATGAAAACAAATGTCAGGGACAGTTAGAATTTATTTTATTAACCGACTTCAAAAAATGACAAGGTTCTCAATTCGTAGGTATATTTTTTTATATATGTTTAGCGTTAATTCTTTACCACCTTGTCCGATTTTTATGATTATTTTTTGTTAGAAAGGTGGTATTCAGGGGTGGTCCCATATAAATTTGGTCAAAATCTAATAATTGGGTCCATAAGAAAATCCTAAACCTCTTCATTTTTTATGTATATTTAGCGATAATTCTTTACCACCTTGTCCGATTTCTATGATACTTTTTTTGTTAGTAAGGGGGTACCTCACGAGTGTTCCCATATTTGGTTATGATGTGGTGATGGCATCTTCACGATTTTGAAGTCGGTTTTTTTAATTAATTACGCAAAAGGCAAAAAAATATGTTATTTGGACAAAACCTGGGTAAATAAAGGTTTCATAGTTAGCAAAGTGTGGCAGGACACAAACATTTAATCTTCACGACAGGCTACAAGAGTGAAGGTTTCTTCCGGTAAAGGACGACGTCTAATTATAACTCATATTGGAAGTGATGACGGGTTTTCAAAACGTGGTCTTTAATATTTTAGTCTAAAAAAATCGAAGATTACCATGAAGATATGAACGCTAATATTTTTGAAGAATATTTTCAGCATATGATAAAACATTTACTAAAGGGTTCAGTTATAGTAATGGATAACGCTAGTTACCATTCCCGTCTATTTGAACGTGTACCAAATACTTCACGGAAGAAAGATGATATCATTAAGTGGCCAACAGCCAGAAATATTAACTTTCCAGAAAAAATCAATAAAAATAGAACTACTAGAAATTGTGAAATTAAATAAGCCTCCAGTACGTTATGTAGTGGGTAGCCTCAAGGTGCCGCCTCCGCCCCTGGAGAATTGGTGCCCCTATGATGCCAATTCACTTCCGTTTTGATTAGAATGGTGCCGATGCAGGCGCCGCGCGACAATTGACATATCAAAAAAAAGAGCAAATGTCCTTGTCAATGCATTTTGTGACTGAGCACGGTTATGTTGACCTCTGCTTCTGCAGATTTATTTTATAATACCATTCTCAAAGAGCTAAATAATTTTAACATCCCAATTGCATTACGTTGTGGCCAAGCTTATGATGGTGCCAGTTATATATCAGGTCATATAAAAGGTCTACAGACTAGAATAAAACAGGATGCTCCGTAAGCAATACAACAGTGTTATTGAAATACACGTACATATTAAAATGGGGAATAGTATGTAATGACCAAAAACGATTGGCACCAATTTTACCTTCAAATTCTAAAATTTAAATATTGGGGAAGAGTCCCCTTTTCCGACCTACTAGTTTCCATATTTAAAGAAGTAAAATAAATCGAAATTGAACTTACCCATTGAAATTGCACTGTTGCCGTAGCAAAACCAATTAATTCAAAATCAAGTTTATTACAGTAATTGTTCAAAATGCCGTCCATTATTATTTACACACACTTGCAATCGTCTTTCCAAAGAACTTTGAACATTAGAAATTAGTCTTGGATTTTGTCGTAGTTCCTCGGCTACCGCATTAACTTTATTGGTTAATTGTTCAACACTATTAATAGGTTCATTATAAACCAGTTGTTTCATGTGACCCCACAAAAAGAAATCGTATGGATTTAAGTCCGGAGATCTCGGAGGTCACTTAGTAGGTCCATTTCTGCCTATCCACTTTTGAGGAAATCTAATGTTCAAAAACTGCCGTACGTTTAAATCAAAGTGAGGAGGAGCGCCATCTAGTAGGTACCACATCCGTTGCCTTAATTGTAACGGTATCTCTTCTAGGAGTACTGGCAAAATATCTTCTAAAAAGTGGAGATATCCTGGCCCATTTAATCTGTTCGGGAGAACATAAGGCCCGATTAAATACTGATCTATTATGCCAGCCCAAACATTTATTGAAAATTTTCTTTGATGCCCAGTTTCCCTAATGGCGTGAGGATTTTCATCACTCCAAATATGCGTATTGTGCATATTGAACACGCCATCACGAGTGAATGAAGCCTCGTCAGTATACAATAATATTTTTAGAAAATCAGGAATATCAACACATTTTTGAATCATCCATTCACAAAACTCCACTCTCTTTTCTTCATCACCTGGATATAAGGCCTGGACTTTTTGGATGTGATAAGGATGTAAACCTTGTTCTTTAAGTGTCCGCCACACAACAAATGAGGACACTCCAATTTCAAGACCTAGTCTTCTACAACTTAATTGAGGCCGGTTTTCAATAGCTTCCAATATTTCTTCTTCGGCCGCCAATGTTCTTTGTGTTCTTGTTCTCCCTCGATCTGCATTGACACTCTCAAATTTTCCATGGTCTCTTAGATGCTGAACAGTTGAAATAAACGTACGACAGTCCGGAATTCTCCGATTTGGAAACCGTTCGCGATACAGGATTTGTGCTTGCCGAGAATTTTCTCCAGATGCCCCATAAACCAGCACTATATCCGTTAGTTCAATATTCGTAAATAGTGGCATCGTAAAAAAATATTTAAAAGTAATCGTAACAACACTTTTTACCAACTTGGAAATGACGCGCTCGTGTTAGCCAGATTCGTAAATCAACTAAAATTTTAATAATCTATAGTTTCAAAAATGTATAGTTTAAAAACAATCATTTATCAAATATTCTAGTTTTTTGATAACGAGGGTAGTAAAAACCAGTCTTCGGAAATAGAAATTAATTTGAAAATCTTGGCAACATGGTTATTTCTTACAAGACTAGTTTTCTTATCATCTGACAAAAACTTGCATATTAATTACTGTTGATGTTTAAAATAGGTAAATAAACCTAATTTATATAGGTCATCCTCAACATATCAGTGAAGTACGTTTGTTTTAGAATTAATTTTCAAAAATTAATAACATCCTTAATAAGGGGTATTTTTAAAAAATAATATTTTTCTACATTCAGTGGGGATCTGCGCAATACCCAGTTTTAATATGTACGTGTATTTCAATAACACCCTGCATATGTCCATTGTTGCTCGCACAGAATAAATCTTGCTTTAATTCGGTTAATTTATGAACTGATGTTAAACTTTTTTGGTACTTTAAAACAATTGTACGTATTTTTTACAGAAAGTCTGCAAAGGTTACAAATTTTTCAAAGTATCCAAAAGGAATATGAATAAATACATTAAAAAGGATTTCTACTACATGGCCATACCAGAATGTGGTTAATTCTACATATCTATTAAAATATTGTATTTCTTCTTCGTTCGTTGCAAATAATTATAGACCATAAAATATCTTTAAGCGCGCGACAGTGGGCGGAAGCCAATGGACTTCTAAATTATTTGAAAACATTTAAATTTTTTATTATGTTTTTGGAAAAAGGTGCTGATAAAATAAATGTACTTTCAAATTATCTTTAAAAGGTAGAAATCCATTTAAATACAGCAGCATTACTCATTCAATTTACTATCCAGGATCTTAAAAATTAAAGCATGAATTATGAATCATTTATAAGGTTTGAAAGGGATCCTGGCCGGATAGAGAGATCCCTGGACAATAAGGAGTCCGCCTTGGGTGTTTTCATAGACATAGAAGGTGCTTTTAATGAAACCACCTTCCCAAAGATAATACACTCACTAACCAAGAGGAATGTTCCACAGATGGTTACATAACATGCTCTCAAAGCGAGCAGTAAATATAAGTGTAGAAGAAGTGAATATAAGAGGCTTGGTTGCGAGGGGACGTCTACAGGGAGGGGTGCTCTTCCTAGATTTATCTGCAGTACTTATTTTAGTGTTCTTTAGCATCGACATTACTGAATTGTGATATATATCC